CCTACACAACACACACAAAAAAAAAAAAGATTTATAAGCAAACAGCAGCATCATAAACAGGACGTTTCTTCAAACCGGATTCATAAACCTGTGTGTGGGTGTATGATGAAGTCTTCTGCTCCAGAACCGAACAGGGAGAACTGGATCTGCGCGTTTGCACCCGCGTCAGCGTCTGTAGCTTTGACCCGGAGGATTTGCTTATTTATGGCGACGTCTTCAGACACGGACACCGAGTACACGGCCTGCAGGCACAAACACACTCATTACAGAGCTCAGATCAGCTTCAGGCTTCAAATTCAGGTTGGCTTGTGCTGTTAAGAGTCAAGAGTTCTTCTTTGCTCATGTTTTCAGAGCGAAATTAAAATGTTTTTAAAACACTAAGATCTGCAGGAGTAATTATCAATTAACTAACTGTTTTTGACCTTTGAAGGCATATTTGAATACTTGATTTGAACATTTCTGGCCATCGCAGGTACATTCTAACATTTAATTCAGTCATTTTTGACCATTACAGGCACATATGAATGATCTGAATTGATCAACTTTGGCAAAACAAGCCCCCACCTGACAGCACATTCAAATGTTCAATTTAAACATTTCTGGCCATAATATATACATTTTAACATCTGATTTGAACATTTTCCACCATCCCACAGTATATGCATGCACAAATATTTGACCCATCAATCTGAGCAAATGTGCATTACATTTTTTTTTTTTTTGGCCATTTCAACATTAAATCCGATTATATTTAGTCATCATATGCATATCTGAACATCTGATTTGAACATTTTTTGGCCATTGCAGGCACCTTCAAAATAATCAAATCAATCATTTTGGCCATTATAGGCATGTATGAAAATCTGATTTGTTCGTTTCTGGCCATCAAAGGCACATGCAAACATTTTTGGCCATTGTAACCATATTCAAACATTAAATTCAATCATTTTAAACTATCATATGCACATAATCTGACATTTTTGACCATCGTAGGTGCATTTTAAATATTACATTTAATAATTTTATTAATTATTAAATTATAGATAAATTATAGAATTCCATTATAGACATGGAAGAACATCTGATTTTAACATTTTTGGCCATTGCAGGTGCATGCAAAACATTCTGGTCATTGTAGGTACAGTCAAACACTCTCGATTCAAAGGTTTCTGGCCATCATAGGTACATTCAAGCATTTCTGGCAATTACAACAACATTCAAATGTTCATGTCAATCATTTTTGGGCATTATATTGAACACCTGGTTTAAACATTTCTGGCAACCACAGGTGCATCATAGCAACATTCCAACATTCAATTCAATCATTTTTGTCCATTACAGGCACGTATAAACATCTGATTTAATCATTTTGGGCCAGCATGGGTGCATTCAGACATTTTTGGCCATTGTGGGCACATCTGAACATCTGATTTTAACATTTTTGGACATTCAAATGCTTTTGGCCATCTTAGGCACAGTCAAACTCTCAGTGTAATCATTTTTTTTTGGCCATCACAGGCATGTCTGACAGTTTGAATGGAATGTTTTGGCCGTAATAGTTGCATTTCAAGCCTTGATTTGAAAGTTTTTGGGCACATCTGAATGTTTGGTTTTGGAATCAACGTGTTGCAGCGCAAACATTTTTGGCCATTTTAGTTCAAACGCAACTATAATCCAAAAACCTTTAAAGATTTCATTTATGTTTAAAGGCTTTTGGATTATAGTTGCATTTTAACTAAAATGGCCAAAAATATTTATGTACATTTATGCACATTTTACGTTTAATTTACCCAAAAATGGCACACTTCTAATGCTCAAAAATCTAAATAGACAGCTCACTAAGCTTTTTTTTTTTTTTTAAGTTTTTTATTTTTGGCGTTTTATGCCTTTTATTTAGATAGGACAGTACGTTGACAGGAAGCAAAGTGGGTGAAAGAGGGGGGTGGGGTCGGGAAAGGTCCGCGAGCCGGGACTCGAACTCGGGACGCCCAAAGCGCAATGGCGCTACATGTCGGTGCACTGCCCACGAGGCCATCGGCGCCGACAGCTCACTAAGTTTTGAGGCTCAACCCAAATGCCGCCTGCTAAACAAACTGGCCTGGTTTTCAGCTTGACCTTATTTCAACAAGGTCATGTTTTATGTTCATAGATAATTTTCCCTGTACTTCTTGGCTGCAGTAAGTGGACTCACTGGTTCCAAAAATATTCCTGGCTTTGGCTTGTCATGTTTACCATGTAGATTTGAAACTGTCAAAAAAATGCACTAATTAGATTTTTAGCCAACTGAAAGAACAGCAGGAGAACCAGCTCTGACGACTTCTACATGTTTCCCAGAATGAACTTTAGTGTTTTAACTCACCGGGTCACAGACGGGGCTGTTGTCGTTGGTGTCGATGACCATGACCTCTACGGTTGCCGTGGAAACGTGGAGTCCGTCTGTCGCTGTGACATTGATGAGGTACCGTTCTTGTTCCTCGCGGTCTAATGGTCGTTTAACGTACAGTTTCCACTCTCCCTGAACCAACCCCAGAGCAAACACCCCTCCTCTGTTACCACCTACACAGACACACACACACACACACACACACAAGAGATTAAACCGGACAGTTACTCTCTCAATAGTCAATTTAAGTAGCAATAAAATCCCCTACCGATTGTAACACAACACACGCTCACTTCCAGGATTATCTGCAGTTTTAATAACCTCCATTAGTCCTCTCAATGATGGCATACTCATTAGTATGAACTATAATAATCAGTTCTTTATATTCACATTTAAATGATCAACACTGCCATCAATTAGGTCCTCATAACAGCCTTCCTGATCTATCGCACGGTCGGCAGCCGTACCTGGCTCATTAGGACAGGTCATCTTTTAAACCTCAAGCAGACAGAGGTGGAAAGAGAGAAAAAATGAGAACGAGAGACGAAAACGACTCTATAATCAAAGCAGCCGCGCTGACAAGCATCCAATTACTGTACACTCATAGTATCAACACACGCTGCCTTATTCATCTAATAAAGAGTGTAATTTAACTCAGCTGGGGGCTGATAACACAGAACAGCTTCTATCAGAGACGCGTTAACAAAGGCCTGGACGCCTTCCGACTCCTTTTCTCTCATCCCACGCTCTCGCTCATTGGCTTGAGGGAGTGTTCAGCATGACTTTCATACACTGCATGCTTTTTCTGTGCTTCATAAGCGACAGCTTGAAAACTTTAATTTTCTTGCTTTTTTTTTTTTTCATGCACAGTGGCCTCAATGTATTTGGGCACTTAAAAACTGACCCTACTTGTCTGAATGCCACCACATTATATAATAATAATTAAACAAATAATAATAAATAATAAAAATAAAAAATAAAATGTTTACACGTGTCATAAGTAACACAGTAATCAAAGGTGTTGTTTATCCCAGTCAAAATCTCATGATAGGCTATTTGATATTTTTCAGTGGCATAATGCAATATACAGTACTGTAAATGTTTGGGGTCAGTACGGTTTTTTTTTTTTTTTAAATAAATTATTACTTTTATTCAGCAAGGATGTGGTAAATTGACTGCAAGTGACTATATGCGCTTAAATGTTACAAAATATTTATATTTCAAATAAACGCTGTTCTTTTGAACGCTATTAAAAAAAATGTATCACTGTTTCTAAACAAAATTAAGAACCACAGCTGTTTTCAGCATAATAATAATAAATGTTTCTTGAGCCGCAAATCAGCATATTAGAATGATTTCTGAAGGATCATGTGAAATGATGCTGAAAACTCAGCTTTGCCATCACAAATTAAATTATATTAAAAAATATATTCAAATAGAAAACTTATTTGACCATGTAATAATATTTCACAGTATTACTGTTTTAACTGTATTTATGATTTAATAAATTCAGCCTCAGTGAGCATAAAAGCCATCTTTTAAGAAACCCATAAAAATGCAATTTGGAATAGAATGCAATCAGAATTGTACTGAATTGCATTACACATTAAAATACAAAAATATGGCATGCATATAATAATACACATATATAGCTTACAGTTGGTCACACAGCACTGGAAAATCAAAAAAAAATTTTTATTTTAATTGTCATAGTTGGTACAGTACTTTATCTAGTCACACACAGACCTTATAGGTTTGAAAATCAACTATCTATACACATGCGTAAAACATCTCTCTCAAACAACATATTTCATTCTTCTTGTCAACCAATTAAACTCAACTGATGTGTTTCCAACCATTTACAGTCAGTTCTGGTCGATTAGTGTTTCTGCAGTGACCCTTCACCTTTACGAGGCAGCAACACGGAGAGCTATTTAACGGCTGTTAAATCGTAGCTGTTACGGCGGGGATATTCAGCGCTATTGTTAAGCTGAGATACACAGTGCGCTGGTCTAACATGGTTTAAGATATCCTTTATGAACCTTTAAACGACTTTCAGCAAAGAACCTCTAAATAAAAGTTCAAATTATCCAATTAACCACCATAGAGTAACTGTTTACTGTTTAATTGCTCTGTTGAACACAGCAGTAAAATACCCTGAGAGCTGAATTTACCCACAATGCTCTTGCTTCCTAAAGAGAATAAAGACATTTGGGTAACTCAAATCTGTTTGTATATTGGTCTCTTTCTTTCCCTCCGGTGTGTATTATGATACGGTGTGCAGTTCTCTGAGCCAGTTTGTGCCGCTGGGCTGTGAGAAGTGTATTAGAGTCTGTCTGACCTTTGAGTTTGTCTTGAACTAGAGGATTTAAACGTTATGAAAGTGTGGACTGTAGGGAAGGAGACTGAGAGAGAAAAGGAAAGAGACTATTCTCAGTAGATCACATGGCAACTAAACAAGGGCTCGTGTCACAAAGTTTACATGCTGTGGGCTACGATTTAATTAAAGGGATAGTTCACTCATTTTTATGAAGTTGTAACGTTGTTTGACTTTCTTTCTGAAGGCTGCATTCTTTTCAATGCAATTACAATCAATTCACTGAATATTTTAGACTTTAAATGATAATAAAACATCACAAAAGTGGACCAAAAGTGCACTTATTAACATTGATATAAACAATAGAGAGACTTTTTATATTTATTCATTTTCTTTCTTTCGGCTTTAAAAGATACAAAAACATCATAAAAGTGGACAAAAACTGTGAAATATATATATATATATATATAAAAACACACACACACACACACATTAATATATATTTAATATCAGGATAGATAGGTAATATTAAGAACTATTTATTATTATTTATTATATTTTATATGCATTTATACTTCAGTTATTTTTAAAAAGTAAAATGTGTACCTTGAATGCACTTTTTGAAGTAATTTTTATCCAAAGTGTCTGCTAAATGCATAAACGTAAATGTAAAACGATATTTAGATACGGCAGAGAGAGACAATACTCAGAAAACAATCCTCGGTAGAATGTACACCAACAATAAGCAACTAAACAAGTTCCAGTATCACAATGTTTACTTTAGTTTCAATGCTGTGGGCTGTAATTTAGTTAAGAGTCAGAGGCTGTGTGCTCGTGTGTGTTGTGCGTGGTAAATCTTGTTAAAAACACTGCTCCTGCTGGTGGCAGCACAGTCTAAATCATGATCACAGCATAAAGGTTGAGCTTAATCGAAATTCTGTTCAGGCCGAGAAGTGTGCTTCTTTCTCTGTGTGTGTGTGAAAAAGCATGAATTATAGAACAAGGCAGCTCCCTAATTCAATGTTATGAGTTTCTGAGCGCCTAATTTACAAGTGTGTACTGCTTAGGAGCATGTGCAAGGTGTGTATGTGTGTGTTTGTGTGTGCAATCTGCTCCTTGTCACCAAGCAAGGTGTTCAACACTGGCTGAATATAAAGGTATATTTAAAGCTGACTGAGCTAGATGCTGATAAGAAGGAGGTTTATATTTGCCCTTTTCAAAGACGCTATCCACCTAAACTACTGCTTTTGGAAATGTCACTGTATTATGTTTCGCTCGTGAAGTGATGCGCTTCCCCATCGCAAATCCCACCGGTGTAATTTGCATGCAGTTGCATCACAGCTTTAATAAAATCCTTATAAAACGAGAGTGGTTTTTCTCTCCAGCAAGAAGTCATTCCGTGTCCTCCCGCAAAATCCAGCTAGTAGCCCTAGAGCGAATAATCCATTATCAGGAGAGGATGAATGAGGTGTAATTGCTGTGGACTTCTGACATTCCATAATAGCGTTGTTCTACATTATGCTTACATGCAGAACAGGGTTTCAGAAAATCAGGCTATGTTTAGATTGAGAGCACACAGGCATACACAGAGATACGGTACATGGCCAACAGTATGCGGACACTTAAACTATTTGTGCTTGTTGAACATTCAAAACAATGGGAATGAAAAGGGAGAAAACTTCTCTCCGTCTTTCTTTATGGATGATTTTCTACTAAAATGTTTGTCTAAGGAGACTGCATGGCTGTCGCTCGCACACGTAAATTGTTGAAGCTGAAATAACCAAACCTGTCAATTTTATGCAAAAAATGACTAAAGCTTTTTTCACTAAAAATATTTAAAAATGCATCATATAGAAGGACTTAATTTTAGAGAATGTATCTTTTTAATGTGTATTTTGTCGTACTGCACTGGCGCATTTTGTTTTTTACTTGATTTTAATTTTTATACTTAAAACAAGTGAAAAAACTGCTTGTGCAGTACAACAGTCAAACAATATTATGTACTGTATATAGGGCTGCACGATTAATCGAATGCGATTGTCATGCGCATTTTGTTAGTAAAGCCGGTTCTGTAATCAGCAGGAAATCATCATCATGTGCTTTCAGATGGAGCAGAATTTACTACACATAGCCGTAGTTCACTGACAAGTTACGCAAAAAAAAATCGCATTTTATTGCGCGATTATGAAATCGAAGAAATCGTTCGCGATAATGACAGCTGTTTGCATAGCTTCTCAGTGAACTACGGCTCTGTGAAGTAAATGCTGCTCCACTGTATATATAACAAAAATGTACTCTGAAAGAAGTCTTAAAGCCATATTTTTCATTGTATGGGCCTAAAGCACTGAGACATTTTTCAAAATATCATCTTCTGTGTTCCACAGAAAAACTAAGGTTTGGAATGACATGCGAGTGAGAAAATTATGACAGGAATAAAATTTTTATTTGTACGGTCCCTTAAATATCTCATGTAGTGTTGCTTCTCAAGAAATGTAAATTATTTCAAAGGTTTATCAATATTTTAGCTATATATATATTAGACAAAAGAAGATTATTACGAACATTAATTTTTTCAAGTGTGGAAGGTCATGCAGTGTACATCGATTGTTTCAAAAGTTCTTACCTGTAATATGATAGGTGACTTGTCGGTTTCCAGGTGAGCTGTCGTTGTCCCGTGTGTTCAATACTGCCACCACTTCACCAGGTGCATCACTCTCACGAACACTTCCGTAGTAACGGGGCTGAAGAAACTGCGGTATGTTGTCATTGGAGTCGCTCACTGCTATAGTTATAGTTGTTGAGGATGACTGGCTGGCAGGATCTCCAAGGTCAAATGCCCAGACTGTAAAACTATGGGCAGGGCTCTGTTCATGGTCCAGCCCTTTCAGTGTTGATATCCAACCAGAGCTGCTGTCAATTGTAAAGTAGGCTCCGTGTTCTTCAATGTTCTCACCGCCAGAGCCACCAAGCAACCCAGGTGGAGCAAGACTGTAAGTCACCTGACCATTAGCTGCCCAATCAGGATCCAAAGCTAGTACTTGCAGAATCCTAGTCCCAGGAGAAAGACCCTCAGTGACTGATGCCTCGTAGTTATCTGACTCAAATGCTGGTTTGTTGTCATTGACATCTTGTACTTTGACCTCCACATCCACAGCCGAAACTGCATCCAAACGTCCCTGCTGCAACATTGCCATCACTTTGAAATGATAGGCCGGTGTCCACTCTCGGTCCAGTGCTTTGTCTAGTTTGATCATGCCAGTTTCTTTGTCAACCACAAACACTCCATCACTGTTACTCTCTGGAGTCTGTCCGATCACCGCTGAGAAGCTTACTGGTAAGGACGAGTGGCTAGTTGAGGTGTGTAGATGCACTGCTCCCAACAAGGAACCAATGGGCATGTCCTCTGGCACGGTAAAGGAGAACTGTGGCTGGCTGAAGGAAGGTATGTGGGCATTGGCAGACAAAACATGTATGTAGACTGACACAAGGGAATGCCTAACAGGTACCCCGCCATCAGAGGCTTTAACGAAAAAGGACAGTTCAGACCCACGCAAAGGGGAGAAATTGCCTTTGGTGACAACCCAGCCACTGTCCGGGTCAATGTCCAGAAGTTCAGTAACTTGCATGCTGGCTTCGCTGTACAGACTGTAGCTCACCTGTCCATTGGCACCTTGATCTAGATCCCAGGCTTGTACTTGCGTCACAAGGGTACCAGGTTCAACCTCGGACCGCATGCTTGCATGGTACTCCGAGGCGCCAAACTGTGGAGCATTGTCGTTCTCGTCTAGTATGGTAACCCGGACACTGCAATATCCAGATCGGCCACCAGCATCCACAGCCGCAATGGACAGCACCATCTCACTTCGTTCTTCCCGGTCTAGACGTTCAAGAGTCTTAATTTGTCCATTGCCATCAATACTGAACAAGTCCCGAGCGGAATCTGAGAGCAGCACATACCTCACATCCCCAAACGGTCCAGGATCAGCATCTTGTGCCCTGATTGCAATGACCTTTGATCCCACTGGTGCGTTCTCCTGTAAATCGGCCTCGTACATGCCCTGGGTGAACTGGGGGGCATGTAGATTAGCTCGCTCTACCCGAATGTGCACTTGTGCCGTACTGGTAAACACTCCATCGGAAACGCTTACATTTAGGGTGATGGTGGAAGGCACGCGCTGCATGCGTCGCTGGCCACTCAGGGTGAGGACACCGGAGGCGGCATCAAGCTCAAACAGCATCCTTTCATTTCCAGACACCAGGCCATACTTCAAGCGTTCTGCATCTGAACGGTCTGCATCAGAGGCCTGGATGCATGTAACAAAGTGGCCTTTTGGTGCCAACTCATTGATAGAGGCTTCATAGAGCAGTTGGTTAAATACTGGAGCATTGTCATTTGTGTCCGTGACATCGACTGTGACCCACACTTCGCTGCTCAGTGGGGGAAAGCCATTATCTGCTGCCTTGACAAGAAACACATAGCGCTGGATGGTCTCATGGTCCAAGGAGCGAGCTGTCAGAATTAGACCACTGCTGCTGTCGATGTGGAAGTGGTCGGTGCTGTTGGTGCGGTCTGGAATGATTTGGTACCGGACAGCTGCATTTTTCTCAGAGTCGCTGTCCGTTGCGAGAACTTGCAAAGCTGCAGTGCCAATCATGGCAGATTCAGAAATTACAGTTTTGTATGAGGGCTGCTCGAAGACTGGAGGGTTGTCGTTGACATCCAAAACAGTAACTTCAACATCCACTTCTGCACGAGCGCCTGTGAGGCAGTCCGTTGCTCTGATGATGAGTCTGTGGGAAGGGCTAGTCTCATAGTCGAGGGCAGCGATGACACTGATGACACCAGTGTCAAATCCAATGGAGAACAGTGTTCCTGGGTCACCGTGCGTGATTGTGTAAAGGACACTCTGGCCTTCAGGGCTGCTGGCGTTTATTCCCAGAATTGGAGTCCATATTGGTACGTCTTCGCTCACTTTCACTGAGTAGAATGGTCGGTCGAACACTGGCATTGCTCTGTTTACCACTGTGACGGGAAAGGTGACTGAAGAGGAAAGAGGTGGTGTTCCCATGTCACGGGCGAACACCAGAACCTGATATTCCACACTAGAGAGATCAGCCTCAAAAGCTCTCCGTAAGCGAAGCTCGCCGCTCAAACGGTCCATTTCAAAATGTCCCAGTTCATCCTGCAGAAAGTAGTTCACCTCTCCATTTTGCCCTTTGTCCCGGTCCACTGCTGTCACTCGAAATATTGCTGTCCCAGGCTCTGCTTCCACTTGCACAGCAGCATAGTATGGCAATCCAACAAAAACTGGAGAATTGTCATTGACATCGCTGACTTGAACTCGGACCAATGCTCTTGCAACACGGAGCCGATCTTCCTCACGGCCTGCTTGTACCAAAAGTCCATATTCCTCCTCCTCCTCCCTGTCCAAAGGGACTCCAACAGTTTCAATGGCACCGGACGTTGGCCTAATACGAAATTTCCCACCTGCATTTAACAAAGTATAACGCAGGGGTTCATTCAACTTGTTCCCTAGTGCTGTAACGACAGCAACTGTTGTTATGTTACCATTGTTTTCCTCAATGTTGGCATTGTAGGTATTATGAGTAAAAGCCAGGCCACTGTCCAGAGCCTCATGAACCAGGACAGTAACCAGAGCGGTACTGGAGAAGCGTCCGTCTGAAACACGGATGTTAAATCGAAATCGTTCTTTGCTAAAAGTACTGTTTCTTACAGTCAACAGTCCAGTGCTTGGCTCAATGCTGAAATGTTCTATGCTGCCATCGGTCAATGAGTAGGTAAGCTCTGACTGGCCATTACCATCGGGATCGGTAGCAAAAACTTGTAGGGCTTCCACACCTTCATAAGTTGGGAGCAAAAGGACAGCTTCATAGGATGCCTGAGAAAACTTAGGCGGGCAGTCGTTGACATCTTGCACCTCAATGGTGACTTCTGCAGGATGCTCAGCTGAGAGCTGTGGATGTCCACTGTCTCGGACGTTAACATGGAAACGGAATGTAGGTGTGGTTTCATGGTCAAGCTGACCAATTGTTCTTATTGAGCCAGTACCGGCATCTACTGCAAAGAAGCGCCTGGCAGATTCTTCCATTATCTGGTACACCAACAGGGCATTATGGTTGCGGTCAGCGTCACTTGCTCGTATGACTAGCGGTTGTCCATTGTCACTTTGCACAACACTGTTAAGCCCGGCACCTTCACTGATACTTCCATGGTACTGTAGCTGTTTGAACACCGGTGTATTGTCATTTTGGTCGAGAACTGTAACAGTTATTGTAGCATTTGAGGCCTGTCCAGCCATGTTGCTTGCGGTGACTATTAGCACGTAGGAGGAAACAGCTTCAAAGTCTAGTGTTTTCTGCGTAGTGATCACTCCACTGTACTGGTTGATGAGGAATGTCCGATGACCATTGCCGTGGCGAATGTCATAGGTAAGGGTGGACAGACTTAGAGCGTTCACTGTGATGACTGAAGTTCCAATGGCAACACCTTCTGATATATCTGCCTGATATTCACTTTGGGGAAACTTGGGACCAGCATTATCGGACAAGGTGACTGCAATTCGGACGACAGCTGTTGAAGACAATGCTGGAGAACCGTTATCCGTTGCTTTAACAGACAAGACGTAGTGACCAATGTTGGACAGGTCCAGCTCCCGAGCCAATGAGATGATGCCCAAAACAGGATCAATCCGGAAAGTGTTTCCTGTGTTTCCTAAATTGAAAAAGAAAAAAATGAGTGTAAGAAAAGAAAAAAGACCTTACAAATATACTGTATCAGCACACACATTATTGTATAAAAGGAAATGCATGTCATAATGCATTAAATTGTATGCATGTTTGCAATTATGTAAAGAAAATAGTCAAAAATTTGTACACATCTACATTTTTACAATTTTCCTGATTTTAGAATAATAATATTAAATAATTAAAATTATGAAATAAAAAATATGTTGTGACAAAACATTTACCAAAAATGTGAAGAAATAATAATAATAAAAAAAACTATAAATCCAAACTTTTTTTTTTAGATTCTTCATTGTATGTAACCATAAAAAATAAAATAAAATAAAATAAAATAAAATAAAATAAATAAATAAATAAATAAATAAATAAAATAAAATTATTGATAATGCCATATGTTAACACAAATCCAAAATGTAAATGTATTGTTTCCACATATGCTGGCTTAATGGTAGTCTCGTGTAGCCAGACCTTCAGACTGACGGCAGAAGGACTGAGAACCTTGGCCGCTTTGAATGGCCAAGGCCCGCCCAAGAGGCCATATGACTGACAGGTAAAGCAACAAATCACGTTTCGTTTTGTGCCACGTCATATTTATGGGCGTGGAAATGTTTCCACAATAACAGACTGGTGTGTAAAACTCTTGAACGTATTTTAAAGATTCTATGCCGCAAACTTTAAATTTTTCACACACTTTTGAAAATCCAGCATTTAGTTGATCGTGATAAGTGCTCATCATCACAGTTGTAAACACGACAGCTTTCTTCTTCCATGAGGGGGTTTGGCATCACAGTATTTTTGTTTCCAGGTGGAACGTTAAAGAACGCAACTCACACGTCTCCTAGAAATTCTGTATAATTTAACCAATCCGATGATGACTTCTAAACTCCTGAATTGTTTCCAGCTAAGTGTGCCATATGCATCAGACGTTCAGCCAAACTAAACTAAACTAAAAAAATAAAATAAAATAAAATATGCTATGCTAACTCATATGGTAACACAAATCCAAAATCAATTTTTCCAAAAGTTTTAAAAGATCATGAGACAAATTCATTGGAGTGTGTACAAACTTTGACAGGTAGTGTATGCGAGCGTGTGCATACCTGAGTCGATGCTGTAACTGATTTGTGCATTTTGGCCCTTGTCCTTATCGAGTGCAGTCACTGTGAGAACAGCTGATCCCAGTGCCGCTGATTCATACACCTGTCCATCATACATCACCATGGTGAAAAGAGGGGCGTGGTCATTCACATCCTCTACACCGATCAGGACACGAGCAAGGCTACGTCTGTACGGGAACTCTTGATCCTTCACCTAATATAGAAGCAAAGTAAAGAAGAAAGCAAGAAAGATGGAGACAAAATAAAGAGAGTGGTAGAGGGAAACAAAAATTAATTCCCTGTCTGAGACAGACAGCAATATCCAACACAAGAAAACAGCAACACACACACAAACTCATACAGACAAAACAAACTCGCTCACTGCCAGACGGAGTGGATAACATCTCTCTCCGGATTATAATAACACATTTCATCTGGTTGCAGGCAGCAGGAATATCCATGTGCTTATTAGATATGACACTCACTGTCTCTCACCCTCGGCAGGGGAGAGCGGAAACAAGGAGTGATACAGATCAGATCAATAATTAGATCACAGTGGAGAAACGACACAGGTGCAGACGACATTAAACTAGTGACGGCTGCCAAAGCACAAGGAGCAATCTCCTGTTCCTGTCATACCTGCACTCAAGCATGGAGAGCGTGAAAGAGAGACAGGAGGGAGGTAAACTACCAACACTAATCAAACGATAACTCTGCTGTTCTATCCATCTATCCAGTAAGAGACACAATGTGCTCTCAAAAATAAAATAAAATCAAATCAAATTTATTTGGTAAAAAAAAAACACATGTAGACTGTTTACATCTATTTATCTATGAAATGTTCAAGTCTTCATACTTTAAAACAAATTAAAGAAAAAAAAAAAAGAAAATAATAAAAATAATAAAACTAGAGCTTCCATTTCCTGAAAAATAAGTGTGAGTGGTGGTTGTTTACTGACCCAAGTCAAAATAATGGTTGGCAAAGCACTGCTATGCATTTCTAAAGAGTTTTAGTACATTACTATGTGGCTGATGCGGTGTACTGGTTGTGGTATTTTAATAATATCTATTTGTAGCAATCTGAGTTACCATGATTGTGAGGATGTGCTGAGTTCGGCTCTCGTGGTCCAGTCTGCGAGCCGTGTAGATGATTCCATTGTTAGGGTCGATGCGAAAGAGCCGCATGCTGCTGGGGTCAACGCTGCTCTGAAGGCTAAAGGTCAAACGGTGACGCTCGTCACGGTCAGACGCCAACACCTGAACCACCTCAGTATCCGGGGGCGTGTCTTCTGTGATTGTGATGTCATAGGTGGGCTGGGAAAAAACGGGGGCGTTGTCGTTGTTGTCCAGAACAGTAATGTGGACCTGTGAAAACAAATTAAAAAACATACAGGAAGTCAACATGAAATGTAATTTCTCAGTAGAAGTGTTGTTACTTTTAACTAAAACTAAACATATATATATATATATATATACTGTATACACACACACACACACACACACACACACACACACACACGCACACACATATATTCATTAATTGGAATGAAGTTGAAATAAAATACAAATATTAGATAAAAAACTAAAACTTAAAAAAAATATTAAATATGCTGCCTGGGCAACTCACTGAAACAATATAAGTTTCAGTTGAAATACTAAAATTACTAAAACTAAAGTGAAATAAAAATAAACTAATTAGAAAAAAAGTAAAAAAAATAAATAAAAAAAATCAAAATTACTATAACTTAAACTTAGCTTAAAATAAAAAAAATAAATATAAAAGCTAATTCAAAATGTTAACATATACTTGGAAGTTAACATGAAATGTAATTTCTCAGTACAGGTGTTGCTACCATTAACTAAAACTATGTTTGTGTTAATTGGAATAAAGTTGAAAGAAAATAACATATAAATATTAGATTAAAAAACGAAAACTTTAAAAAAAATAGATATGTTGCCTGGGCAATTCACTGAAATAATAAATAAATAATAATAATATAATAATATAAGTTTTTATAGGCTTTTTATAAGTTTACTAAAATTACTAAAACTAAAGTGAAATAAAAATAAAACTAATTAGAAAAAAATACATAAATTACCATAACTTAAACTAAGCTTAAAATAAAAAAAACTAAATATAAAAGCTAATTCAAAATGTTAACATACACTACAACAGTACAGAGGTAATACTAAAATAACACTGCTAAGTGCACATTCATGGTCCTATTGTGAATGATTCACCAGTAAACGTTATTACAAAACAAAGCAAAGCAAAGCAGCAAAGCAAAGCAAAGCAAAGCAAAGCAAAACAAAGCAAAGCAAAACAAAGCAAAGCAAAGCAAAGCAAAGCAAAGCAAAGCAAAGCAAAGCAAAGCAAAGCAAAGCAAAGCAAAGCAAAGCAAAGCAAAGCAAAGCAAAGCAAAGCAAAGCAAAGCAAAGCAAAGCAAAGCAAAGCAAAGCAAAACAAAGCAAAGCAAAGCAAAGCAAAACAAAGCAAAGCAAAGCAAAGCAAAACAAAGCAAAGCAAAGCAAAGCAAAACAAAGCAAAGCAAA